GATTCGCTTGTGTCCTTGGGCAAGGCACTTTAGCTACATTGCATCAGTCCACCCATCTGTATCAATGGGTACCAGCAAACTGCTGGGGACTAACCTGCGATGGACTAGTGTCCCGTCCAGAACAGGGCGAGTACAACTCTCATCCGCTTCACACTACAGAAACTGGGGGTAAGCTCCAGCCCTATGAGCCCCAGTGGCTCGGAAAGGATTTAGTAGTTAGTTATAAATACTCTGTTAGGCCTGAGACAACTAGTGTTACACTACATTATATTTGAAGCCTTTGAAATCTCTAAAAAATTCAGTATTAACCTACGACTGACGGACGATTACGGGTCATAAAATATTATTAATTTATTATGATTTTATTGTGTTTGCTGATTCATCATCATCATAAACACGCGTCCTATTCAGAGTAAATATTTGTAGATTTTAGGCATTAGCAAGTAGTGTTAAAAGAGGATACAGTGCCTTACAAGAGGATATCTTTTAATATTTTAATCATAAACAAGATTTGAGTGAAATCGTTATAGGCAGGACTACTGTTTGAATACCATAAAATATACCTATGACCTGATTGGCTGAGCTAAAATCCCTCACCAATTCTAGTAAACTCCACAGCACAATAATTGAATCGTAATGAAAACTGAAAATTAAACTAAAGCTGCAATAAAGCAACGATATTAGTTTTTATTTGTTCGGTGCAGTAAATTTATGGAGCCAGCCTTTGAACTCGTGTAATAGAGTACAGCTCACTACAAAACGAATAGTTAAAAATTCTATGCACAAGGACCACAGATTCAAGTTTGTTTTTGGACCACAGAAAATGTTTAAAAAGTTGTGATTAGGCAATAATCACTACACATCGTGTGTTTAATTCCGTGATAGCGAAAATCGAAAACGTTCCACCGAGTGCCTAAAATCTAGATCACAAGTATTAACGTATAACGTCGTTACTGTTTTTTTTTTATTGAGATTGTGTTGGCGTGTCTGTAACCATAGGTCTACTCACGTGTTTTTAATTGCAGTCATGAGCGGGATTTGTCAACCCGGATGCCGGAATGGTGGAGTCTGCCAACTTATAAATAATGAGTTTGTCTGTGATTGCCCCGGGAGTTTCTACGGAGATACATGTCAAGCCAATGGTATATATAAAATATTCATTAATTGGTAAAAAATGTCTGCTAAAATCCGCATAGACGTTTTCATTTTACATAACCCATATCACAAGCATTGGTTATTACAATATCACATGTGCTTGTCTAATAATCTCGTTTGAGTTTGTAGGTCTTTACTCATTCTGATGTTCAAAATCTAAACATCTTGAGCTCTTCCTCCGGTTTATGAATTTGCAACACAACCTTCGTTGCATCTGCGCATCATACACTAAATAGAATGTACTAAAATTGAGCAAATATCCCGTGAACGCGGATCTTGTAATTTTAAAATTGAAACATCATTGTTTGAACCTTTCTTTCCAGTATCAATGACAATAACATTTGTGCTGATAGGCATTGCAATACTTCTTGGAATTGCAGCATGTCTAACTATCGGACTCTGCCAACGCTTTCGACAAGAGCAGGATAGGCCACTAATTATTAACAGAATCATCAGCGTACGTAAGTTACCGTATCTTCCATTTCGGTTGCATTAATATAATGATGCTCTGTCCACGCAATGCACGTAGCCATGCTACTACGAAATGTCAGGCGCGTAACTAGGATTCCTTAATGAGATTTGCTGTGACAGCCATGTGCACTTACACTTCTAGTGGGAGTCATAGAAAATGCTTTAGTGGAAGCATTCAGTCATGTAGATGGTGTATTTTCATCATTCTGATGGTATAGTAGTTTTGTTTATCATGTCAGTGAGATGTTTGCTCAAACATATTTTAAGACTGCGATTTGCATATACTTTGTTACTGTGATAGTTCACATTTAGGTTCCTGCCTGCTCTCTGAGTCGACTGTCATTGTGTGTGTTCTTGATTTTAGCAATAAAGAATAAGAATAACCAGTTGAGAAATTTCCAAAATAAAATGTCTGTAAAAATATGTGAAAACTGAAATATTTCGATCTTTGTTTCATAGGAAAGTTGATTACTTTTTCATTCATATAACTGAGAAATACTTAAAATTCAATATTTCAACACAGAAAGTTAAATTAATATATCTATTTATTTTAAGGGCCATTACGAAGAACAACGAAGATCGATAAATCTAAAAATGACGTCCCTCCAGCTTATGACGATGTTATTGTTTCTGGAAACGGAGAAGCGGAGACTGAAGTAGATGGTGCAGAAAGACACGAAGAGGAAACAGAATGTCATATAGGGCTAGATGTTGAAGCGTACTTGCCTGCTGGTGGAGAGCACGTACCCGGTGATGAATCAGAGGTTGATCGAAGCACAAGTGGAGAACATCGTGATGCAAATACGGTGACACCAGAACAACTGGAATCACCTTTTACTGCCAATACTATCGAAGCTCCTCCACCAGGTTATAAAGACGTCGAGGATAACAGAGCTAGCCATCGAGTTTTCTTGCATCAACCACGTCGCGACACAAGGGAATCAACTGAGACATGTGCTAAGGACGACTCGTAGATTTCTCTACCGTTATCTATCTTTCATACTCATGACGAACAATGAAACTCTACACATCGAAATCCATCTAAACAATTGATTGATTGGCTTATCTACAAAAATAGTTCAGTTTGTTGATCCTTTTTAGAGTATCTTGGTGAATTAACTAGCTCTTAACGTATGTGCCTCTAAAAGTAAAACCATATGGTAAAGGATACAATGGCACTATAAAGTCCTGTTTACACTACGACGATAACGATCGACGATAAAAAGCTAAAAAGCAATTGTTTCACACTACGATTTTATCGTTTTCCCATGATTTTGACGTAATTTGATTTGATTTGTGACAATATTTTTTCATTGTATACACGTATTGAATAGTGCTAGTATGAAAACTTCTCTTATTTCTTTTATTTTCTATATGAACAATCGCTTTTTAGCTTTTTATCGTTGGTCGTTATCGTCATAGTGTACACATGCCTTTAAATGGCAAAATAACATAGTTTCAACTAAGCATGATCATATGCCATATGAACACTCAAACGACATCAGCATTTTTAAAGCTCCATTATTAATTGTTGAACTCACGGTATATTGGCCAAGTAGTAGCCGAATACTTCAACCATGACTCTTCATGAAGACGATAGAAACACCATGGTTTGATATTTTTCTTGACCATCGGTATAGTCGTGTACAGTTAATACTACGAGAGTGATTGATGCCGTAACAGAAGTATAAGCAGTGGTGAACTCAAGATGTGGGGGACCCCCTTCCCCCTAAATTTGTCTAGATTATTTTTTTTAAATGGAGAAAAAAATAACATTAAGTCTGAGAATACCATTTTCGGCGACTATCTAGGTGACATAATCATAAAATTTCTTACCTCAGCTCCAACCAACCATTGTGGGCCTGTGGTTGTCTAGACCCTCCATCTGTGAGAGTCTGTCCCTGGTCTACCTTTATTTCGAATTCCTGGATCCGCCACTGATAAGCGACTGGAAACAAATATATTTCCAGGACCTCAATTTGTTTGGAATTAAGATGGAGACCCGAGGGAGACATGCGGTTTTGCTTCAAATTGATTCAACATCATATACAGTAATTTGTATATTCTTGTACCGTGTCCGGAGAGGTTGTCTCTAATGATTTTCGTTTCCAATTTCCTTTTCGACGCCAATAAGGTATTGTTAAAATAGACAACCTCGCATCTGTTCATTATTTTTACATTGAACACAATATTCAAACTTTAATTCTTATAAATAATGTATAGGTGAAAACCTATTTTTGGAGATAATAGGCCTTTATATACATACATAGCTTTCGTTGAAGAGTTATGCCTGATTAGTTATATATTTAACACTACTAGTAGTGTGTTTACTGAAAAAAAATATGTTTTTCACAGAAAAAAGAAGAATTAGGCCTATGAATATAATGTTTTGTATATTTAAATGTGCTTATCCATTATTTAATAAAATGTTTACAAGATGAACTGCTTGTGTTTATTTTAATAGGTGAATTGTTATTGTGATTTTAACTCCAGTTTTAGTTTCAAGAAAGGAGAATACATACCTTCCAAAAATAAATGGCAGTTGACGTATAATATTAATAGAAATATGATGTGTAAAAATATTATATCTTTATTACTAGACCCCCATCGCCACGACTAACACCACAAACGCTGATGAACATTGCACCAGTATATTATGCGTAACTATTTCAGGTGAACATACATAGAAACTTACGTAAACGATATCGAATGCGATTACTTTATATGAAAGTGATATGACTTAACAAAATGTCAAACTAACGACCTTTATAAGATAAATTATAATGGCTATTAAAATTATGTGACATAGATATCCATTAAGAGGGATCGAAAACTCTGTATGTTTTAACATGATCAACAGGTGTGTAACCAACGTAACAGGATAAAAAAAAATCCTTGATTTTATGAAAGTGCTCAGTGGACCATCATCTCAGAATAGGCACCATTGATTACCTGAAAATTAACAATAATGGTAGGCTATTCGAGTGTAATTTTTTGCTTTTTTTCAAGTAATGCGTGACAGTAACGTATATTTGCCAATCATTGTGTACCCTCCTGTACCTGACGTTATGTATAATAGGTTGACGACATATAACTTCACATTCGGTGTTGGAATTCAGTATCGTTTGGAAGCAGCTGGGTTGTATGGAAATGAACTGCTATAGTCAGCAAAACAAACTTTTTTAAAAGTGGAAGTGTTAGGAAATTTTAACAGCGTTATAATAATCACCACTGTGGACGCTGTAACAGGTTTATGATTTCCTATTAGACAAAGTTGGTGGTTAAGCTGTATGTTCAAAGGCAAGTTGTTAACTTCTTGATATTCCGACAGGAAATAATTGAAATTATGTATCCGAACAACAGTGCTAAAATCTCTTAAATTAAGAGAGTAGCATCGACCATGTGGAGCAATTACATTTAAATTTTATTAATTCGATTTATGAGTATGCACACACATGAGCTAAGAGAATATAATCACATTTTGAGTAGGTATATAGGCAGCACTCTATTCATATCAACAATATTTAGGCGTCACGGATGCCACAATGGATCAGTAGGACGAAAATACGATTCCGAATAGTGTAAATTTGACCTTCCTTTTTGTGTGCATAAGATCAAAGGCGTATCAGAGGGGCCCGTTGATTAGTGTTGTTATATTACTTCTAATTAGTAGGCCTACTTCTAAATATCGTTAATATAGGCCCTATGTTATTTTTTAAACCATATTTATAAAGGTGACCCCTTCAGCGTATCCTTGAAGGTCGGCTGATATTCAGGGGCCCTTTATAAATAAAATAAAGTGATGATTTTTAATCTGCAGCGAAGTCTCTTTATGAGGCTATGAGAGTGGAGTTGTTTTTAGTCTGAGAAAAAGTCCTGCTGTTAGAGAATTTGAACCCAGGACACCGTGATTAGAAGGCAAGCATCTTAACCGCTAAGCTATTCAACTCCACTCCAAATATATTAAATATTGTTTTCTTTCAGATTACGGATACAGATATGAACTCACTAATGCCGCCTAAATGCATTCCCAAATGTTTGAATGGGGGTCAGTGCCGAGAGTCATCCAATGGTCCTTTTTGTTTATGTCCCAGCACTTACTCCGGAGATCACTGTGAAATCAGCAGTATGTCAATTTTAATTTAATAATCAGGTTGGCCTATATAGGCCTGTTTATATCACAGTGTATTATACATGTAATAGCCTTTATGATAGATAGTAAGATTTCGATTGCAAGACGATGTTTTTCTAACATTACTATCTACTTTTAAAAAGTTTATATGCGTGTCCTCTTCCTTCGTGTTTTATTTACTCTGAGGTGGGCATTTAAAAATATTGATTGAATCAGTGGTATCAAAATCATGTAATACGGTATTTTATTCATTTAACAAGATCAGCTCTCTTTCTTCTATATGATACGGTAGGTAGATTTAGCTCTTTCAGTCTATCTACATATTTCTTATCTTTCAATTCCCTTAATAATCTTGTAGATCTCTGTTGTACCCTTTCTTTTAAACGACTGAATAGTTAAACCGAGCTTCCTATAGCGGGTCGGGTACAACATTTACAGCATGTACAGAAAAATTCAGCTTCGAATCAAATGATAGGCATTAATCAAGTTTTATACACAATCAATATTAACACTAGAAATAACATCACGAATAAAATATTCAAAAAGCTGGTTAGGAGTCGCAAAGTATTTTTTTTTCTGAAGTTACAACTTAAAAGTTGTGGTCATAAGATTAATTTTAGAACCGCATTATTAACAAAATTATTAGGTTAAACTTTCCACGTCGTATTTTTTATTTATTTTATTTATTTTTTAATTGGATTTAACATGTGCATAATGATTTTGATAAACAATCATATTGAATCCCGACACGATGGCGTGCATTTCAATACCTGGAGTATGTATTTTACACGTACCTAGACGTCAGACTAACGGGTCTATAATTCTCTCTCACTCTTACTACCTTTCTTAAAGAAGATGAACATCCCCCACTCGCACTGACCCAGAAACAACTCCTTCATATAACCATTTGTTTAATAACACCACCGAGTTCTGTAGCAGTCTCTCTTAATACTCTGGAGTGAATTCCGTCCGGACCAGGCATTTTATTTATATCTAAACCTTTTAAAAAAATGACAACATCCTCATACTGAAATACCACAGAATCTACACTGCACTGCAAAATTTGGAATTCTTAAGCTAGAAAAATTGCTGGAGTTCTCATGTGTATGCACACCAACAAAATACCTTGTTAAACACTTCCACTTTGATTTTGGTGCTCATCTTTCAAATCCGGTACCGTATGTACTCCTTGATCTTAGTTTTATTTTTAACAAAGGACCAAAACGCTTTTAAGGATTTCACTTAGTATTATCTTTCTAACTTACTCTCAAAACTAAACCTTTCTCATTTCAGCAGTGGCTTTATTTCTCAATCTAACATAATTCTCTCACGATGTTTTATTGTTTAGTTTGGTAGACATTCAAAGCTTTGTGTTTTTAAATGAATAACGCTTCCCATTTTTCTCTTTATCCACTGTTCCTTATTGGGCTGCGCTCTCTTTTTTAACGGAAGAAATTTATCAGTACAATCCTGAATGACCTTCTCAGAGATAATTTTTCCACTGATAATTCATTAAAACATTCAAATTTGTGATAGTCTGGAGAGGGGTTTAGATAACTCAAGGTCCTTTGCATGCCCAGTGGATTCTACGTGACATTATAATCCTAGCTCTGAAAATTCGGTGTTGATGCACCGTTACACGACTCATAACTCACTGCCCGACTACATACGACGAATACAATTAATTACTATAATACTGTATCCTATACAATGCAATACAATTGGGACAGTTGGTACAGTCCCACAATTTTTTTCTAATAGGTCCACAAAGAATGGGTCCATATTTTGAAAAATGGGTCCAAATTATGCAGCTTTTATGCACAAAATGAGTCCACTTTTGAAAATGGGTCCAGGTTTCTCATATTTAGCTTAAATGGGTAAAATCTTAAATAAATGGGTCCACATTTTTCAAATTTTTGTGTAAAATGGGTCAAATTTTTAAAAAATGGGTCCATATTATTTGTATTTACTCGTAAAGTTGGTCCACACTGATTTTGTCCCGCGCCGTTTGAAAACTTTGGATACAGCATTGATCCTATATGAAGTTTGTGATGCTTATAAAAAAATAATACGGTGAACTAGTGTGAACAATGAGAGTGTACATTAGGCCATTTATTTATTCTTCTTGTAGCCACTGACTTAACAACGTACATCATAATTGCGGTTGTTCTATCAATTGGGCTCATTTTGGTTATTTTAATATTAATGCTTAGACGTTGGAAAGGGGAACGACAAAGACCACGTATATTACCAAGGATAATCAGTGTTCGTAAGTAGATGAGAATTTTTATCTGTATCAATTAATCTTAAAAGAAACTATAGTGCGAACGTGTAGTGCTATCATGGTGTGGTAATTATTTTACACACTTTTCTAGAAACTCGTCAAAATACAGGCCTTGGCATGAATGTTGGGAATTACGTGTACGAAAACTTCCGACTAGTGCTTGATAATTGCTACGGATTAATGCGTGGAGGCAATCAGTGCATGCTACTATACAACATAACCGGAAGTGTTACCGTATGCTGCGTGGTTGCTATCACGCACGTGCATAATTTGCAATAAATTGTGGTATCAGATTTTGTATTAGTCATCATTCACATTATGCAATGCAACCTACATTTATTTTAATCAAAGACTATAGAGCTGCAAGAGGTCCGACTGCCATTACTTTGTATGCAAGCAATGGAACGTCAAAAAAAGTACTATTCGAATTCGAATAGAGTTTGTAACTCGAACATCACACAGCACATGTTCGATCATCGAACGTCTGTTAAGGCCACGCCCCTTTTGGGCACTTTTTGAAATAGGATTGCGTTCCAAAGAATCCCCGGAAGTGGGACCTCTTGCAGTTTTATACTCTTTGGGACAAGCATGGAGCTATCTAATTTTATAGCTCCATGGTGGAAGGCATGTATAATTATTTGAGTCATGTAGCTCGACAGATATTTTCGAATAAGTGCAGTATTACCAATACCTCTATGGTTAAACGTACTGTCCTTCAAAATGATCGAACGCGTGCTGAGTTTCGAAACTCGAACATACGTTCTATACGCGCAGCACGCTTTCGATACAACGCCTTTTACATTCTTTTGAAGGACACGCCCCTTCGTGGCATTACTTTTTGAGAGAGGATTGCGTTCCAACGAAACCCTGACAGTTGGACCTCTTGTAGTTCTATGCTCTTTGTTTTAATTTAATGCAGATGCATCAGGGGTGTTGTGGGTTTTGGCCTGGGGTGCAAACATTTATAATATAGAACTGAATCTCTATTCCAATGAATAAATTTAATAGTCATTTTAGTATTTTAATTCACTTAGTGGAACTAATTTGTCGCCAGTGGGTGGAGCACGTCTGCACACCCGCTACCACCCCCCCCCCCCGCCATATACGCCATATTTACCTAAGGTTATGCTGTGTACAGTATTTTATTTATTTTAAAATAGGTGCTCAGCCCAGCATAAAGATTGATAAAACAAAAGATGATGCTCCACCTGGATACGATGATGTTTCGAAATCGTGTGAAAACCAAGATGCTGAACAATGCGACCTCACAAATGCTATTGAAGCGGATTCAGAATCGACATATCTCGAACCCCCCACTGTTAATGTTACTAAATCCCCAAGCGCTCAGACGCTCAGTGAATATCCATTGTTAGACACTGCTACGCCGGAGAGCAAATCAGACAAATCTGCTTTCTCCACTGACAATATGCATCAATCGACAGACGATCAGCTAAAAACTAAATCTGCACCAGATGAGAAATTAGGCCCACCTTCTTATGATTTTGTCCAGGAAAACAGAGCTAGCCAAACCAAGACCCGACGAGATCATTCGGAACGTAGTGTGTAGTAATTCATCAAGGGGTAGATAGTTTAGCGTAATTATCTGACTCCATTCTGAGACAACTATAACTATATCTCAGCTCCATTTTATTAGCAAGCCAGAATTGGATATAGGTCTGAAATGCATGTGATAACATGTTTTTTCTGTTTTAAAAAAACAAACAAATATCGAGTACCGTATTTAATATGGCATTAATGAGTTTCTTGAAGTATATTTATTATATACATTTTACAAAATATGTGAGTAGTAAAATATTACATTTCAATATAGTATTATGTGACTTTATCAAAATTATGTAATGTTGTATTGATACTAAGATATTTAGACCTTGTCTCTTATACACATCTAGATGTGTATAAGAGACAGCCGTATGTACTGTGTATAGCGAGGGACAATGAGGCATAAGAAGACTAGGACTAGGCCTAAGTAGACAGTGCAATTATATGTGATAAAAAGTACACTTTCGAAAGAAATAAATTAAAATAAGAAAATAAAGTAACTATGGGACCTAAGAATAATTCAGTTGTTTAAGTATTATATGCTAACTATGCGGCTATTGTAGCCCTAGCTAGGCAAGGCATTCATGTGCAAAGCTGTGGTGTTTGTTTATCCATGAAAAAAATCACGCCGGGAAAGTTTGCCTTACTAGGAAAAGGTGGCGTAATCTAGCTTATGACGTATGCATGCTAACTATAGTGTGAGTGTGACGACCTCTTGTAGTTCTATGCTCTTTGTTTTAATTTAATGCAGATGCATCAGGGGTGTTGTGGGTTTTGGCCTGGGGTGCAAACATTTATAATATAGAACTGAATCTCTATTCCAATGAATAAATTTAATAGTCATTTTAGTATTTTAATTCACTTAGTGGAACTAATTTGTCGCCGGTGGGTGGAGCACGTCTGCACACCCGCTACCACCCCACCCCCCGCCATATACGCCATATTTACCTAAGGTTATGCTGTGTACAGTATTTTATTTATTTTAAAATAGGTGCTCGGCCCAGCATAAAGATTGATAAAACAAAAGATGATGCTCCACCTGGATACGATGATGTTTCGAAATCGTGTGAAAACCAAGATGCTGAACAATGCGACCTCACAAATGCTGTTGAAGCGGATTCAGAATCGACATATCTCGAACCCCCCACTGTTAATGTTACTAAATCCCCAAGCGTTCAGGCGCTCAGTGAATATCCATTGTTAGACACTACTACGCCGGAGAGCAAATCAGACAAATCTGCTTTCTCCACTGACAATATGCATCAATCGAAAGACGATCAGCTAAAAACTAAATCTGCACCAGATGAGAAATTAGGCCTACCTTCTTATGATTTTGTCCAGGAAAACAGAGCTAGCCAAACCAAGACCCGACGAGATCATTCGGAACGTAGTGTGTAGTAATTCATCAGTCACAAGTTGACGACAAGGGGTAGATAGTTTAGCGTAATTATCTGACTCCATTCTGAGACAACTATAACTATATCTCAGCTCCATTTTATTAGCAAGCCAGAATTGGATATAGGTCTGAAATGCATGTGATAACATGTTATTTCTGTTTTTAAAAAAAACCCAATATCGAGTACCGTATTTAATATGGCATTAATGAGTTTCTTGAAGTATATTTATTATATACATTTTACAAAATATGTGAGTAGTAAAATATTACATTCCAATATAGTATTATGTGACTTTATTAAAATTATGTAATGTTGTATTGAAACTAAGATATTTAGACCTAGCTAAACTTATATATACGGTACTATTTTAAACTATCCATACTATTATACACTATTTTCTCTTCGTCAAAAGCGCAAATATCAGCTAAAGCATTGAAAGCAGAATTACTAGAAGTTGTAAATTTATTTATATAATATTAAAATATATTGTTAGCGCCAGAATATGATTTTGTTCTATTTATGTGCATGTTTTGCGGCCCATAGATTTGTAGCATGATCGTTTTTGTTAAACCACTTGGGCCAGTGTTGAGAGCTGTTCAAGGTTGTAATTTTCCGGCAATCAGAGTGTTTGTGATTGGATATAAGTTGTCAATCCAATAAATGGATTCTGAAGTTACAGTTTACTTGAATGTTCTTTATGTTGCTCTTGGTTAAGTGCGTGTGACAAGCGGTATATTACCAGGCTATCAAGTACAGGCAGACCTCGGGACGAGTGCGTGAGTAGTGCGCCCAGGCCAAACGAGATTTCGCGTGTACATATATGTTCTCAAAAAAATATTTGGAGAATTTTTTTAATGAGTATTATGGACGGTTTAGGCCTGCTGCTAATTCACTGGACTTGGATAGTGTTGCTAAGGCCCTACAAAACGACAGTGTATGAACCTGGGGCGGATGCATGGGGGTGCAGACAATATCTTGAGAATTGTCACTTATGACTCTTTCTCACGAGATCAAAACGCATACATGGATCATTCAAAACAAATCGGAAACGTGATTGTAATATCCTTTAACAATTCACAAAACGCTTTCGAGTTACAATTGATAATGAATGATAGACTAAATATTAATATAGCAAAAACGTACAGTTTTTACAGGCGTTATACAGTATACCAGTGATGCAATTTATTTATGTAAACACTTTTTGGGATTCTATTCTTAGGATGAAACACACACTCAATTCGGACCACTATTGAAGTGTAGTAATTGAACTTTAATTGAAAATATTCGAATGTATTGCAATTGTATAAGAAATTAGAATCCAATTCAGATTTACGAATAGATGTTTTCTCAAATTTTCTTAACAAAGATACAGGTAAAACCTTGATAAATGAACCAAAAGGACGTAAGCTGATTTAGAAAAAGCACCACACATTTTAAAATAATAATAATAATAATAATAATAATAATAATAATAATAATAATAATAATAATAATAATAATAATAATAGATGGATTTATATAGCGCAAATAAACGAGGTCTCTATGCGCTCGACAATATTGTAGTTAGTCAAGAAAACACAGAAAAAAGCCAGAAAGAAAAAAAAGGGAAAAAAAAGCAATAAACACCAAGCTAGCCCCCACCACCGCCAACCGGAGATCTGTGATTATGTACTCCGGTTAGCATCGGTTAAGTTTTGATATTTTCTGGGATCAGGTGCCTCCTAACCTGGACCAAATAACACTAGCTAGCGAGGTGAAACAGAGAAATTTAAAAAAAAAGAAGTTATAAAGAGGCAAAAAGAATGCAAGATATTAACACAAACGATTTAATTGAGAACATTTTCGGATTGACAACAACTCATTATTAGTACAGAAGAGGAAACACGAAAATAAAACCAAGCCCTTCAAGTGTTATTTGTTCTTGTAAACGCTGGAAAGCTATAGGTTCTAAAACCCACATGACGAAACATAATTTACAATAATACATAGGCCTATACCTATTATTTGAAATTTCTGTCTGCACTTTAAGTTTACTCTTTCACATTACCATAAAGCCAATTGAAACATCAGTGTAATGCGAGTGTGAGACGACAGAAAATTTGCAGATACACTGGGCCAATATGCCAGATTATCCATGTTTAAAATTAGAACTGCCCTTCTGTGGTATGATTTTTTCGGATAAGGTGTTTGCAATCTTTGCTACCAAAGTGCAACGGTACGTTTAGAAAACAAAATCATTTACACATGAGAGGAACAAGCGCTAAATATTTTGAGTAATTTTAACAGAAAATGGTCATATATTCATTCTCTACAGTTTGATTGTCATGACCTTCGAGTAGTACAAAGATGATTCGGAAAACACGTTACAGACAAAACCACACTGAACCACACGTTTTTTTTTTGCAGACGCAGTTGAACTTATTTTGATCACAATAACCTGAAAAAAAGTTCACTGTGTGTACGAGAGCTCATTACTCAATTAAAATGTGTCTATTGATAAGTTGGAAATGGAAAAGTTCCTACAAAAAGCATAAATCATTGACAAAAACAGCAAAATAAATTGAATGAAAGTTTTCGTCCAACTGAGATACAGTCTATATAGATCATTCGACACCAATTATCAATAATGGTAATAATTTCAGTCAATACGAAGTTTTCCAATTGCTGGTTTATTTTCAACCACTTCAGTTTGCTGTCAAGCGATAAAAACGTCAATACATGAAATACCGTTAATTTTTTTTCTATTCGAAGCTGTTTTTATTAAGTTCAACGACCTTTTTTATATACGATAAAGTAACAATACCAATTGGTCCGACGAGTGACTCATAATGCCAGAGCATGCCACTGTTCTTTGAATTTGATCGTCAATTCAATTTACTGTACACAATCACCGAAATATGAAAGACTTGTGACGTTAGTTGACATTGAAAACCCGCTTGTTTGCATTAGTTGTGTTTAGTCTCGTGAAATACATTGGGGTCTTTGCCTGCGAAATCCTTATCGTTGTCCGTTAACCTTAACATTGGTATACATCTGTGGTTTGTGTGAGGTAATCTTACGGAAAGATTAATAAGTATTAAAGGTAAGAAAATAATTTAAAAAAATATGACAAACAATTAGTTTGTTCCAACTTCTAACAACCTGTGGTGTACAATTCTGGACATACAGGTTGGTGCTTTTTAGCTTAATGAAATGTCCACTTAACCCTTGGATTAGAATATTTTCATTGGTCTACGAATACCATCATTCTACTCTATATTTGAGCACTGTTTCTATCATTTACCCCTATATTTTTTCCCAGTGCTAACTAGTAATTTTAATTTATGATGTTGCTTTACTATTATTTCTACAGCGTTTTTCCTGAGTTCTTTCTTTCACAATGTGAAGGAATGAGTTGTGTGAGGGGTGATCTGGCTGAATTGAATCTGCAGCATCAGGCAGATCGATATGATATTTGCCTTGACAGTAGCAGGTTCAATTCGCGCTGGACTTTTAACACAACTGAAAGGAACATTGCTGAAGGGTTTTGCTCAATACGATTATAATCAGTAATGTGTTCTTATATCTGTGCATATCATAGACACATAGGACTAATAGGAAACATATATAGTTGTATATGTATGTATATATATATATATATATATGTATATATGTATATGTGTGTATATATATATATATATATATGTATGTATATATACATGTATGTATGTATGTGTATATATATGTGTGTATAGATACTTAGATAAGGTGTTCCTGATGATGACATAATTTATGTCGAAATATTGATTACATAGTTAATGTCGAAATATTGAATCCCGACACGAGGGCGTGCATTTCGATACTTGGGGTATGTATTATACTATCTTAAATAAAGTGTCTTGCCCAAGGATACAAGGGGCTTGCACAGCGCGAGTTTCGAACCTCCAGGCTAACCGCTTTTGATATACACATGGACGCAGAGAGTCGTCCCGAACCGTGAGGTGTGCAGCTGACGGCCCCCAATGGCGTAGTCTGGATGCCGCCTATTGGCCCAGTGAGGTCGGGTGGCAGGGCCCAAGAAGGGAAGGGTTATGATCTTACATAATTAGATACCTAATATGAATGATCATTGAGTACTCGTCCAAAATAGATGACATTATTTGATCACTTTTTATGACACCCTGTGGTCCGAGCCCTAACCCACTTTTACTGCATGCCTCTCATTCCCTATCCATGCAATGCTTGAACAATGATGAACTACTCGAATTGATGTCTGTTATAATTGATTTTTATCAGTTGGATATATCAACAAGTACATAAACTGAATCACTTCCAATCGGTTCTCCAAGATATCGTAAAAAAAATTACAATATCATAAATTTTTTAATAGCTACATTTTAGTCATTCTTTGTGGTAACAGTGAGGTGATTAAACGACGGTGACTCTAAAATTACGTAAACATTGCGTATCCTGTTGTAGTACGGGCCACCACAGTACCATATCCTGTTTTTGCGCGTGTTTCAAATAATGGAAGTGTTGTAACGCGCGCGCACGTGCAAATTGGCCACTCAACACGTTTTTAGTCATCTGTATTTTGGACAGTAGAACTGTGCTATTACATACTGATTCTTCTCATTGTCAATGAAAAACTAATCCAAAGTATAAAGTACAAAGCTATACTAATAATATATAGACATACTTATAAATAAATTGGGCCTTTTGGCGCCCAAAAGTCATGTTATATATAGTCTCATGGATTTTACGATTATTAATATAGGCGGGAAGTGATGATAAAGATTTGACCTCTCGTCTCGATGAACGACTACCAGTATCCGTTGTAAAATAAATACTTTATTTTTTCGGATATTTATCATTCTTTTGAAGAATAAAAACACACTTATTCCATTTCCTATCCAATGTCATGATGTTGCACTACCGTATATTTAATGGTGTTTACTTTGTAAGCTAGAAAATCCTCTAACCTTGACATACACACTGATTCCGTTGTATTTGTACTATCATTGTGCGTTTGTGTTTGTGGTAAACAAAATGCACCAACCCCATGTACCAGGATCTTCAGTGAGGTTTTGTACCCGAAGTGTCTTTATTAGGCTGTAGCATTTTCTTTTGAGTCATAACGTACGGAATTTTTTTTAGAGTGTGGGCAATTCACTTATATGCCTACGTAAGGAAAGATAGCCTAGTCCATGTCAAATCTGTTTAGAAGCTAAACATTGTGTTGCAATCGAGTTCGTAAATACTCCATCTGAATATTTAGGTGAGGATTAACTATTATTATTATTATTATTTATTATTATTATTATTATTATTTTAGATTACTTATTTTAAATTTTAAGTCTTACTATATAAGTAAGACCGACAAATTAATAATATAGGGCTTAAGTTGATGATCACTCGAGAAACGAGTTGAGCATAAACTCCTGTAAACACTGCAATTCCGATTGTTTTCAACTACTCCATTAAATGTTATTTAATAATTATTTATAGGTGAATATTTTAATTCTCCAACTAGATGTCTGGGGACGCAGACTTTGCCCCGTTCGTCATAGGTTCTTGCAGTTCGGGCCTAATTTTCTGTAGAAATGGAGGAGAGTGCATAGAAGGCATTTGCCAATGCCCAATTGGATTTCAAGGAGACGCCTGTGAGAACGACGTCAGTAAGTAATCATTACTTATTACCATTATTAGTATTATAACTTATTATTATTATTATTATTATTATTAATTATTATTATTATTATCATCATTATTATTACTATTATTATTGTTAGGCCTATTATTATCATTATCATTATTATTACTATTATCATCATTATCATTATCGTTGTTGTTGTTGTTATTATTCCCTATTTATTTATATTAATAATGCCATAATCATTATTGTTAATGATTAGGCCTATGTCATTATTAATATAAATAAATATCATAATCATTATTGTTAATATATTTTCATTACGTATACTTTTACTTTTCGTTTTGTTAGGGGCAGAAATTCTTATCGGCTGTCTGTTAGGTGCAGTAAGCGTTTGTCTGCTAGTTATAGTTGCCTTCATAATCTACCAACGAAGACAGGATGCAACCCCACAGATTCGACGTGTTATTAGTGTTCGAAGTAAGAATTAGTACATTTCATTCGATTTTGTAGTTGATAATTGCTGCATTCCT